CCAATGTTCATCGCAGCACCATTTATAATAGCCAGGACGTGGAAGCAACCTCTTCTTTTTTATTGTGGATCAGCAGTCATCCCAACAGGTAAGTTTTTACTGCTGTTCATGGTTATTTGTTTGTCCTTCCACACCTCTGCCTAATGTATCAGAGCTGTCCATAGATAACTTGGCACAGAAAAACAGGAGAATAATCTTAGAGGATAGTCTCAAAGTTGTCACATGAAGTAGCTGGATAATAATATTAAGGTATGGTTTTATCTCAGGTTTTCTTTCTGAAAATAGTCATCGTAACCCATGGAAAGACTGAGGAAGAAACTCATGACCAGGGAGCTTTCAAAGTGGTCTAAGCAATAGCCTAGTCTAAGGAGACTGCACTGTACCCAAGGCTTACAGAAGTGCCATAGCCTCAAATGTCTGCCCATCCTTCAATCCTAATCCTAGATGATGTCTTCCAGGCAACTGCTTCCCATTCAAAATTAATCATGTTTTGGTTTCCTTGATTTCTTTATTAGATATCATTTGAGGACAGGTAAATCAAATGGACAGCCCATTGAATTGAGTGCAAGAATATCATTTAACTTAGGATGCTGTGTGTGGAAGTGACTGCCGTTTATTCACACTTCTATTCTTTATTTCGGCAGTCCCCAACTGTTTTGCACCAGGGACCAGTTTCATAGAGGACAACTTTTCCAGGACCCAGTGTGGGGAGGCAGTGTGGTTCAGGCAGGAATGAGGGAGATCAGTTCAGTTCAGTTCAGTCATTCAGTCATGTCTGATTCTGTGACCCCCATGGACTGTAGCATCCAGGCTACAGTAGCATCCAGCATCCCTGTTCATCACCAACTTCCGGAGTTTACTCAAACTCATGTCCATCGAGTCGGTGATGCCATCCAACCATCTCATTCTCTGTTGTACCCTTCTCCTCTTGCCTTCAAGCTTTCCCAGCATCAGGGTCTTTTCAAATGAGTCAGCTCTCCGCATCAGGTGGCCAAAGTGTTGGCATTTCAGCTTCAACATCAGTCCTTCCAATGAACACCCAGGACTGATCTCCTTTAGGATGGATTGGTTGGATCTCCTTGCAGTCCAAGGGACTCTCAAGAGTCTCCTCCAACACCACAGTTCAAAAGCATCAATTCTTTGGCATTCAGCTTTCTTTATAGTCCAACTCTCACATCCATAGATGACCACTGGAAAAACCATAGCCTTGACCAGACAGACCTTTGTTGGCAAAGTAATGTCTCTGCTTTTTAATACACTGTCTAGATTGGTCATAACTTTCCTTCCAAGGAGTAAGTGTCTTTTAATTTCATGGCTGCAATCATCATCTGCAGTGATTTTGGAGCCCAGAAAAATAAAAGTCTGACACTGTTTCCACTGTTTCCCCATCTATTTCCCATGAAGTGATGGCACCGGATGCCATGATCTTAGTTTTCTGAATGTTGAGCTTTAAGCCAACTTTTTCACTCTCCTCTTTCACTTTCATCAAGAGACTCTTTAGTTTTTCTTCACTTTCTGCCATCATGGTGCTGTCATTTGCATATCTGAGGTTATTGATATTTCTCCCGGCAATCTTGATTCCAGCTAGTGCTTCCTCCAGGCCCGCGTTTCTCATGATGTACTCTGCATATAAGTTAAGTAAGCAGGGTGACAATATGCAGCCTTGACATACTCCTTTTCCTATTTGGAACCAGTCTGTTGTTCCATGTCCAGTTCTAACTGTTGCTTCCTGACCTGCATACAGATTCTCAAGAGGCAGGTCAGGTGGTCTGGTATTCCCATCTCTTTCAGAATTTTCCAGAGTTTGCTGTTGTCCACACAGACAAAGGTTTTGGCACAGTCAATACAGCAGAAATAGATGTCTTTCTGGAACTCTCTTGCTTTTTCGATGATCCATCAGATGTTGGCAATTTAATCTCTGGTTCCTCTGCCTTCTCTAAATCCAGCTTGAACATCTGGAAGTTCACAGTTCACATATTGTTGAAACCTGGCTTAGAGAATTTTGCGCATTACTTTGCTAGTGTGTGAGATGAGTGCAATTGTGCGGTAGTTTGAGCATTCTTTGGCAGTGCCTTTCCTAGGGACTGTAATGAAAACTGACCTTTTCCAGTCCTGTGGCTACTGCTGAGTTTTCCAAATCTGCTGACATTTTGAGTGCAGCACTTTCACCTCCACTAGTAGATGGAGAGCCACAAATGAAGCTTCACTTGTTCATCCACCACTCACCTCCTGCAGTTCCTAACAGGCCAAGGACTGATACTGGTCCATGTGGATTGGGGATTGGGGACCCCTGCCCTATTTGAATTGAAGTCCTTTGGAAAACTCCCCTATACCTTTATTTTCCTCATAATTATGCATGGGAAAATCATAACCTCATCAGCAACGTCATCCACTTCCCAACTGTGCTAGAGCAGTTTTGGTAGGGCATTTTTAAAACTGAACAATGAACTCAGTTTTCTATACTTGTGAAGAGTACCCCAAACTTGTTCTACTATTATGATGGCAGCATAGGCATACACACCTGGTGGCTCAGATGGGAAAGAATCTACCTGCAATGCAGGAGACCCAGGTTCAATCCCTGGGTTGGAAAGACCCCCTGGAGTAGGAAATGAAAACCCACTCCAGTATTCTTGCCTGGGAAATCTCATGGACAGAGGATTCTGGCAGCCTACAGTCCATGGGATTGCAAAGAGTCAGACAGGACTGAAGTGACTAACACACAGATACTTAAAAATGGCATCAGCATCTTAATGGGATTATCAAATCAAAAGGGAGAAAGTCAAATAAATCAGCTTATCAGATATAAAAGTGTTAAACTAGCTCAACTTACTCATTTATCACTATGGAAACTGAGGCGCAAAGGTGAAATTATGTACTCGTGGTTTCAGTTCATTGTCAGAGAGTAAGGATAATAAAAGTAATCAAAATACTGCCACAAAGCAGGTTTAGAAAGTTGTAAAGCTATGAATGGTATTTTGACACTGTTCTCTCATTTGTCAATGCTAATCATAGTCTTGTACAAATTGTAACAAACTGTAAAGATCTTTAAGGAAAAGATTAGATTATCAGATTTCTAGAAGTTTTAGAATATAATCAACCACTGGGTGAATTATCTAAATTAGTGATTAAATAAAAAATCATATTTCTTATGCTTATCAAAACTGCAGAATTGTTCTAAGATCTATATACTGCTAGGAAATTTTCTGCTATAGCTCCATAGAAATTTGCAGTTTGAGATTGTTTTCATTTTATCTCTGGCCTTTAATGCTTAGAGAGCTCTTGCTCCTTTTAATTTAAAACATTTTTACATATAGGGTTATCGTTACCTTCTTTCTAAATTCCATATATATGTGTTAATATACTGTAATGGTCTTTATCTTTCTGGCTAAATACAAAAATAAAATAGAAATGCAATAGACATATATAAATATAGGTAAATTGATAATGTAAATGTTTAACATCATGTAAACAAATAAAAGATATAATAATTATGCTAATTACTTATCTGACAGTTTTGATATATGGTTTTCTTGGAGAAATATAATTTCACTTGGAAAGGGGATGAATTTAGATCTCATCAAAAAGATAACATTTTTAAAAGATAAAAATTGCTGAAGAACTTGTCTACACTGGATATATTTTCGTGGGATTTTTAATCTGGAAATTCCAATGTTTGTAACATATGAGGCTACTCAGTTCTCCCAGTCTGTCTTTGGCAACGAAACAAGCAAAACTGCATCCTGCTATCAAACAGGAAAACTTCAAAAAGGAAATTAACATTTCAAACAGAAGAAAGGGGAAGTGTTTACTGAGACTTGTTTTTGAATTTTTTATGTTTTATGATTTGTGCGTTTCATGAGGGGATTCAGAGCATTGCTGAGAAAATATGGGAACACCTACCCCAAGAGCTGTGAACCATGATTCACTAATCTCAACAATAAAATGCTCCATGAATCAGAATCAAATGACATTTCCTCTAATTTCTGGTGCACAGTTTTGCTATAACAGTATAGGTTTTATCCTTCAGGGAAGTGGAGGCTTGGAAAATGCATATTGTCTCTAATAAAGAGAAATGTATCCTCAGAAATTTCTGCTCAACATATTTTCAACCTAAATATTTTCATCCATCCAACCCTCAAAGGTTGGGGAGTCTTCCTAGTAACTGAGAAGGTGAATCCTGTCAACTGCAAGTTGCCTTTGGCACTTGCTATCTGCCTTTACAAGGATTAAATCATATGTGCTATAGCTGCTGATTTTCAGTGACCCCTGAAAGGAGTTCAGGGTGGACAGCAGACATGAGAAACTCTGTGCTCTGGGAAAAACTGGCAAGACAGGTCTTCAGATAGCTAGATACTCTCAAGAACTGATTTTATGAGCCCGATTCTTGTATCTCCCCCTATCTAGGAAAGCACTAAAATCCTTCATGGAAATGACTGTACCTCATGACTTGCAGAAAGCTTCATGAAACTAGAAGAGACTTTCTGGAAAAATATGTGTTTGATTGCATGTATTTCCCCCTTCACCAAAATCACATGTATACTGACCTTCCCTCTTTACTCTTTCGAGCAGTTTCTCAGAGCTATTTGAGGTGCTGTCTCCCAGACTGAAGTCCTTATTTTTACCCAAATAAGACTTAATTCACAACTCTTATGTTGTACATTTTTTTAAGTCTACAATCCATATCTATGTATGTATTTGTATACCCACTTATTACATATCTTCTCCACCAGAACTGACATACCGTTGTTAAAGTTATGAAGCTTGTCTTATTTATCTTGGTAGTGTCCAAAACTAGAAAAGTCATTATTCAAAAATATTTGTTGAATGAAAGAGCAATCCAAATGTCATGGTTACCTGGATGAGCTAGCAATGCAAACATCTCTAATAATACTAAAACTACAAAAGGGAGGACAACCATGAGATTCTAACATGAACAGGGTTGAAGGAGGAAGCAAAAACAAAATTTAAAAATAGTGGACAGAAAATCACCATCGGATGAGATGCGGGGGGGGGGGGGGGGGGAGCTGTATTGTTTCAGAACTCAGTCTGTGAAAGTGAGCATTGTCATATCCCAAAACATGATGTTTGACTATCTTGAGTTGAAAAGTAGGAAAGTATGAGTTTACCACACAAGCAAAATGATTTCCAACCCTTAGAAAAGTCGCTTTCACAAACCAGAAGGGAATATATTTTGGTCAGCCCAGGGGAAAACTAACCATCATAAAAAGTCCCAACAGCTTTGAAAAGAAACAAAAGCAACTTTATTATTCCCCCTTCTATAATTCTAGAAACAAATGTTTCCATCAGGAAATGGCACAGGCCTGAAACATCTCTCTCCCTGGAAATTCCATCTAGGCAGTTAAAATTGGTATTGAATTGTTTGCCTAGATAAATGTTTCATTTAAAAACACAAACATTTTGCTTGGGATGTTACAATTTAATATGAAGTAACTTCTCCTGATAGGATAGTGTGACTGTTGCTTAGTGATATTTTAATGTAACTTTATGGTTTAGTCAAGAATACATTCTCATGATTCAGGACAAAAAAATGATCTCTTTTTTCCCCCACATTATATTTTGTTGCTTGTCTTACTGAAGATGCTTAAAGAAAACCTAGACTGTTTGTTTACTGGTTTCCCAATTATCCAGGCAAAAAAAAGCAAGAACACTTAAAGACACAGTGCACATCTTGTCAGGATTTCACTTTACTATAATCTTTGCCCTCCACAAATGTCTGGCATCTAAAACTAGAAAACATTTAGGTTCTTGCTCCTACCAATGCCTGAATATCTTTGTAAGAATTTCCCAAACACTTCATGGAAAAAAACTTAAAACCTCAGTAATTTTATCTCCTAGTAGGCTCTTCATTGCTATAAACTTAGCTCTAATTTCTACCAATTTGATCTTATTTGGGACCTTAACTGTTGCTTCCTTCGACATAATACAGTTGTTTTCAAGAAATATGACATGTCCCAAATGAGTATGGCCATGGCTGAATGAAATTTGCTGTTGCTGCTGCTATTTAGACACTAAGTTGTGTCTGATTCTTTGTGACCCTATGGACTTTAGCCCGCAGCCCGCCAGGCTCCGCCATCCATAAGATTCTCCAAGGCAAGAATACTGGAGTGGATTGTCATTTTCTTCTCCAGAGGATCTTCCTAACCCAAGGGCTGAACCTGTCTCTTACATCTCCTGCATTGGCAGGTGAGTTCTTTATCAAAAAATCTATGAACAACAAATGTTGGACAGGTGGAGAAATGGTAATGTGGAGAAAATGTGGAGAAAAGGTAACCTTCTCACACTATTGGTGAGAATATAAATTGTCACTTCTGATTTAAAAGAACCATAGTATAGAGTATCATGAATGCAAATAATTTTTGGCATAACCTAAAAAAATATATTTTTAATCTATAAAATACATTGTAACCGGGACTATAAAATGTGAAGCTGTCATCACTGAGGCCAGTGATAACCTTTTCAAAATTTATTAACAGGATTCTGATTGAAAATTATAAATAATTAAATTAATAATTTCATCTTTTACTTAATTTTAAGAATAAAACTTTAATAAAATCAGTATGCATTCTAATTGTTTATTTATACAATATTAATATTCAGACAGAAGGATCACTAAAGCACAGTTAATTAAATATAAATTAATGTGGTGGAATATTTAATTATCTTTTCTACACCTCACAACTAATGATTATGTAAATGTCTTCCATTTAATCTTGTTGCCAGGAAATTAACTTAATGGCCTTCAACAAATGAACATTTTGTATGCATTACAGGACATTTTATCTAAAATTTAACAGCATGGTATTAGTTTCAGATAATAACATGATTACACAATTTAAAATGCAAATGTATACAATACTTTTGCCCCTCCCCCCACCTTTTTTACAAAGGAGACTAAAATTGTTCAAGTGTCCCTCAATAATCCAGGTTTGGACATGTTAAAGATTTCCTTGCTTGTCACTGAGGAAGCCAGCACCTTTTAAAGGAAATGCTTCCAAAGAAAAAAGGCAAGTCCCTTTTCAGTGGACAGTTAAATCAATGATTTCACATGATGCCACATTTAAAAGTAAATTACTTTGGATGTCAGAGGATGGCAGGACCATCGGCATTCTGAGTGATTTATCCAAGTTTGGGGGATTTTTTGAAGTGCCAGCGCTTTGGGATATGTTAACAAAACCTTGGGACTTGTAACCCTCTAGCGGAATTGAAGCCCAGGACTAATTACAAGTCTCATTAGACATCAGTGAAAATATGAGAGACAGAGATTTAATTTCCCAGAGAGAGAGGGCCTTGTCTTGAACAATTTCAATGAATAGACATCCCATATATAAATGAATAGAAATGATCTGTCCTACACTGGGTGGGAGATCCCACATAGGAGAATGCTAGACAGATGAACAGCCAGGCATTTCTCATTTCGCTGACTATAGTAGGTGTTGTTGCTACTCCCTGTGTAACTCCTTATTCTTTTCACTTCAGAGATTACCAGCCAACTGGCATTCGCTTCTTCTCACTTATCCCTTGGGTGAAAGTTTTGAAGCGTATGATTTGAGTTTCCTATTTGAATGGAGTTCTAGTGCAAAGTGGCTTGATAATGCACCCCTTATTGTGTCTCCTTCTCTGCTTCATTACCCAATTCCCTTACCGGTGTTTATTTCACTTCTCAAAAAACAAATTTCTATGTGTTTATGTCAAGGCTATATATTGTTACCCTGCTTATTAAATTTCTATGCAGAGTACATCATATGAAATGCTGGGCTGGATGAAGCACAAGCTGGAATCAAGACTGCCAAGAGAAACATCAATAACCTCAGAGATGCAGATAACACCACCATTATAGCAGAAAGCAAAGAGGAAATAAAGAGCCTCTTGATGAAAGTGAAAGAGAAGAGTGAAAAAGCTGGCTTAAAACTCAATAGTCAAAAAACAAAGATCATGGCATCTGGTCCCATCATTTCATGGTGAATAGATGGGGAAACAATGCAAAAAGTGACAGAATTTATTTTCTTGGGCTCCAAAATCACTGCAGATGGTGACTGCAGCTACAAAATTAAAAGACACTTCCTCTTTGGAAGAAAAGCTATGACCAACCTAGACAGCATATTGAAAAACAGAGATGTTACTTTGCCACACAAGGTCGGTATAGTCAAGGTTATGGTTTTTCCATTAGTCGTGGGTGGGTGTGAAAATTGGACCATAAAGAAGGCTGAGTGCCAAAGAAGTGATGCTTTTGAACTGTGGTGTTAGGGAAGACTCTTGAGAGTTCCTTGGTCTGCAAAGAGATCAAACCAGTCAATCCTAAAGGAAATCAATCCTGAATATTCATTGGAAGGACTGATGTTGAAGCTGAAACTCCAATTCTTTGGCCACCTGATGCGATGTGCTGACTCATTGGAAAAGACCATGATGCTGGGAAAGATTAAAGGCAGGAGAAGATGATGACTGAGGACCAGATGGCTGGATGGCATCACCGACTCAATGGAGATGAGCTTCAGCAGGCTCCAGGAGATGGTGAAGGACAGGGAAGCCCGGTGTGCTGCAGTTCTTCGGGTCACAAAGAGTCCGACACAACCAAGAGACTGAACAACAACATCTTTACTCAGCCTCTGTTTCTGGGGAAGTCCAAACTAAGACATTGTTTGTTTGCCAGTGGGGGAAATCAATTAAATTAGACATGGGTTTAAGATGGGATTCATGTAAGATCTAGGAGTTTCTAAATGTATTCGATCATACCCATTACTCCCTTGCTCGGTCTCTGAAGGGGATGTATAGAAAAAAAATAATAGATACCAAGATAGCTAATATAAGAAGGTCTATTACTTATCATACATTTTAAGTGCTTTACACATATAAGCTCATTTACTTCTCAAAGAAACTCAACAATACAGATCCTGCTATGTGTGCATACATGCGTGCTTAGTTGCTTCAGTCATGTCTGACTCTTTGTAACGCTATGGACTGTAGTCCATGGGATTCTCCAGGCAAGAATACTGGAGTGGGTTGATGTGCCCTCCTTCAGGGAATCTTCCCAACCCAGGGATCAAACCCACATCTTTTAGGTCTCCTGCATTGGCAGGTGTAGGGGGAGCCCCACACACCACTATCATTTCAGTTCAGTTCAGACACTCAGTCATGTCTGACTCTTTGTGACCCCATGAATCGCAGCACGCCAGGCCTCCCTGTCCATCACCAACTGCCAGAGTTTACAAACTCATGTCCATCGAGTCGGTGACGCCACCCAGACATCTCATCTTCTGTCATCCCCTTCTCCTCCTGCCCCCAATTCCTCCCAGCATCAGGGTCTTTTCCAATGAGTCAACTCTTCAAATGAGGTGGCCAAAGTATTGGAGTTTCAGCTGCAGCATCAGTCCTTCCAATGAATACCCAGGACTGATCTCCTTTAGGATGGACTGGTTGGATCTCCTTGCACTCCAAGGGACTCTCAAGAGTCTTCTCCAATACCACAGTTCAAAAGCATCAGTTTTTGGGGGCTCAGCTTTCTTCACAGTCCAACTCTCACATCCATACATGACTACTGGAAAAACCATAGCCTTGACCAGATGGACCTTTGTTGGCAAAGTAATGTCTCTGCTTTTTAATATGCTGTCTAGGTTGGTCATAACTTTCCTTCCAAGGAGTAAGTGCTATAATGCCCCCCAAATTCCTTGCTTATAACAATGGCTACTTTATTAAATCTCAGGATTTTCTGAGCTAAGAATCTAGGCAAGTCTAAATTGATTCTTTTGTCCCTCATGACATTCAGAGAAGACACCGATTATATTAAGCTGAAACGTGGGCTGGTCTAGAGGGGCCAAAGTGACTTCATTCATTCATCTGGCACAGTTGTAAGAGCGGCAAGAAGGCTGGGAGCACCTTCAGCTGGCATTTCCAGCATGGTGGTCTCATATAATAGTCTGACATCTGATTGGTAACTCAAAGCTCACAGAGCAAGGATTCCAAGAAAAGAAAGCATAAGCTGCCAGTTCCCTAAGACGTGGATCTGGCCATTGGCACTGAGTCACCCCTAAAGTGATTC